ACAGTTTAGATACTAAATAACAATGATATTTCTGGTGGCTACTCTTTGTTTGCCTGTCAGTTACATTCAGGAGATTAAACTATTTAGAATGTTTGTTTGAAGTGTGTGTTTTCCTCTTTGATTTTTGTATATTAGTATATTTATTTGAAAAACCCCACAGCAAGAAATTTATATTATAAAATATATATGGGTTTTTATTTACAAATGTTATATCAAACAGACTATAATGTGTATTTGAAGTGTAGGTTTTTCAGTTCTTATTTTCGTCTCTTATTTCCCTCTCATTCCTTTTCCTCTCTTGCTTCCTCCAAGCTTATTGGCCTTATGGTTACATATAATACATAAAGTAAAACATGGGTAAACTGTGAAAAACCTGCATTTACATCTTGGCTTTCTGAGACCATCACAAACCATGATTTGCTAATGAAAAGGATGATAATATTTACTTATTTTACACATTGGAAAACAAATGATTTGTCCAAGGCCAAACAGTGGATCAGTTGCATTGCTGAGATTATAACAAGAGTTCCTGACAGCTAGCTCTATGTTTAGCCATAGACAGGGTTTTGTAGTGATTGTGTGATTGCAGTGGTCATTCAGTCTGAAACCTGACCCAAGTACTGAATATAGCCTGCCTGTCTGGCCCAGGAATTGCTGTCACCCTCTTGGAATAGACCTTAATTCTCATGAAACAAGGAAAACCTTCCGTGATGTACAATTTCTTAATTCATTTACTAAAAGTTAATGAGAGAGACTTCTAACCTATTTTAGATGTCTGGAACAAAGCAGATAAAGAATCAGACTTCTTATGAATTATCAAAATGGAACTTCAGGTCTCCAAGTCGCATTCTTTTTATATATACGTTTCTACAGTGTCCATCACCATATTTCCTGAGCGTTTGACTAGATGAAAGACACATTAGATACTTCTAGAAATAGAATACCAGGGAATATTGTAATCACTCTTACAAATAGAAATCTGTTCAGAAGTTGAGGGATAGGAGAAAACAATTGGGCAGTGGGGTATGGCCAATCGCAGCATGGCTCACTGAAGGACATGCTGCTGGATAGGTGTGAAATGCCAGGCAGTGAGGTGAGATCAAAGTTGGTCCAAGATCAACAAGGATGCCCTCTGAGTTGCCTTCAGATCTATCATTGGAAGGCCATAACCTCTGCTACTTTTCTGGTCCCTGCTGAGGGATAAATCCGGCAGTAACTGCAAGGTTCCTTAACAGCAGAGTGTTCACCCACCAGAGGGTTGAAATAGTGCAAGGCATCCTCAATACCTGCTCTATTGGGGAGGGCTCCAGGCTGGAGAGTGGAGCCCCTAAAATAGGTGACATTGAGCAGGGAAAATGTATGTCTCTACTGCCTCTGCTGAATCATTGTATCTCCATGTCCGCCCCAACCTTCAGGGATCCTATGGTTTTCTGGCCTTAGATCTGAAGTGGCCCTTCCCTAGCAGAACCCCCATGGAGTTCCCCATTTGTCCCAAATTTGCAACTGCATACATGCAGGTGAATTTCTGGCTCATGTGAAGCCCCATTGGATGCAGTTGCAATATCAAGGCTATTGCTTATCTCCCCGCTTCCATGGGTTATTACTTTTGAGCCATGGAAACCCTGAAAGACAGAAATTTGCAGTTTCCACCTCGTGTACTAGCAGGGGTGACTCAAATCCACAGAGAATTATGTTGAATTCTTTCCATCTTGTGGCTTTTTCCCTGGAGAGTATCATGTACCCACTTTTTTCACACTATGATCTTGCATAAATCAATGAAAAACAAATAAAAAAATCTTCTTTTAATGGAATCAATTAACAGTTATCTGCCGGGACAAGTTTATAATAGAGTATTTTCCCAGCAACCACCAAAAAGATGTACATTTGAGTACATCAGGCTTATGTAGTTTTTCATGTCATTTAATCAATACTAGATATGTTTTGACAATAACCATTTTTTCTTTTTTAAACATACTCCTTGATAAGTTTAATTTTAGATGAGTATTGAAAATCCAATCAAAAATATTTTTTTGAAAGAATATGCTGACCTGTTGTTACAAGGGGCTTAACTTTTGGCTTCCTGATTTTGTTTTCAGGAGGATATAGTGACTGATTGAAAAACCTTTTTGAGTTCAGAATTTGGTCTAATGAAGCAGATTTATTCCCAGACATATAACCCTTATTTGACATCAGATATTTTCTATAGGTGCTTGTTATAGTAAACTATGTGTACATGTGATAACTACATTTTTTTTTTTTTTTTTTTTTTTACAGAAACCACAGTCCATTAATGAGTTTTGGGGCCAGTTTTGTCAGTTTTCTGGTAAGTGGGTGAACAAATTGAGCAGAGAGAATTCATCTCACTGTTTGTATCATTGTTAATTTCCTCGTGTGTGTATATTTGTTTTTTCCTGTTAAGCTCAACTCTTTTAGAATATTAAAATTAATGTAGTTATAAAACATGCATAACTCATTACATTGCATACATGGAATCTTAACTTGTTTTGCTCTTTTATGTGGTTTTAATTGGGAGTAAAGGGTTCTATAAATTCAACATCTCAAATTTATTAAATATTGACATGTTCCATTAAAAGCAAAAGCCAAAGACTGATTATCTTGCTTTACTGAAAAAAAATGAGTTATTAAAATGAAATTCATAAATTCAGTTTTGTCCTATAATAAACTGTTAATTTCTAAGTCTCATTTATCATTATTTTAGAATAAAACTGGTGGGCTTCATGTGAAAACATCTTAAATTAGTACCCTTTTTGAAGGTGCAGAGGTATTTGAGGACTAAGAATGCTAATAGACTAAAGGTTATTAATGTGTGATCAGTCACATTTCTGAAAATGTGTTAAGTACATTGTATATGGAAGAAGAGAGAAAAGGGATGAAAATGAGCTGCTGATCTAAAAGCATATTTAATAGTATATAAGAAAGTATTTGAACCTTGTTTTTAAGTTGACCTTACTGTGACTTGCCTGCTTAATCCTAAACTGTCACCATATATAGAATAGTAAAATTTTATTTAAAAAAAGAAGATAATTTTATAATATTCCAGAAGTGCTTTTTTGTACATTAAATTAATTTTAAACACCTCAGTCTGTGGACTACATGACTTGGAAAGGCATATTATATAGGAGGATTTTTCCCTCTTGCCTTAGGCCAACATGATGAAAATCTCTTAGGCTTGCTCATCTGAGTTGATTTACTGAACCAGTATAACAGCACAGTACAGCATCATTGTACCTTGAAAAGCTTCTGCTTAGTTACTGTTCTAAAGATAGCCACAGCACTTCGCATGCCTATGTCATCCAGTATTTCCATTAGACAAAGCATCAGAAAAAGAAGTCAGTTATCCTGAGACCCTCTTTTAGCTAGGTTAAATGGAAGCTGAAATGATTTTTTTTTTTTTTTTTAACAAGAAGTATAGGGATTCTGCTCATTATCACTCATAATGCAGTGGGTTTTATTTGTTCTTGACTTTGAGGCATGTTATTTACGTGAATAAATTATATAAAACAGTATGTGCGCAGACACAAATTGAATCTTGCATAACAGTAATTGAAAGTGAATTTATGTAATCTAATTCATTTTTCAGCTAATGTAATATGACAGTATTTTCAGTTCAACTATATATTAAACATTCAGTTTTGTTAAGAGAAACAGAGTCAGCTAATAAGTTCTGATTTCAGACTCTTGACATTTTAGTGAGGGACACTTAAATGCGGTTGGGCAACGGGTGTGTGTATATATATCTAGCTGTGTATATACACAACATGAGTCTTGAGTAGCAATTTAATCCTCAAATGTTTTTTAAAGAAACTTATTTAGTTTTTGTCTATAGTTACTGCACCAATAGCTGATGTAAATTTTCTTGTTGTTTTGTTATTCAAATCTTTTTCATTTTATTTTTGAAAGAATGCCATGATGACATTTGAAGAAGAGAAAATGCAGTTGGCTTGTGATGATTTAAAAGCCACAGAAAAACTGTGTGAGAGTGAAGAAGCAGGAGTTATAGAAACAATCAAGAATAAAATTAAAAGAAATGTAAGTGGAGCATCTGTAAAATATTAGCTATTGTGTACTGTGTGCAACCGTTTGTGAAAACTTTCTTCTACCTTTCCTTTTCTCTTTGGCATTCAAGAGGGGTTTTCATAGCTGAGTTGATGTCAGAACTGCTGTTGGGAATCCTTGTGGTTTGTTGTTCTTGAAAATTTCAATTTGCATGACAGTGTCAGCTCAGATGGGCTGGCATATGGAATTTCTAGGTTTAAAGAGGCTAGTTACCACACTGATGGGCATTTTAGAAATTTGAGAGAGAGATTTACCCAGAGTTGAGGACAGCTCCCGTAAGGCCACCCATATGGTTGTGTTTTGCTGGGTTAGATATTCTGAATATTTCAATGCAGAGGCTATCCCATACCCATATTAGCATCAGAGACAGAGAGTTTAGTCATAACCTCACAGATTTTTGTGGTGGTCTCTGCTGATGAGGCACACCTGGTCTACCCTCCCAACTGGTGTATCTGTCTGGTTACCAGCTGCTTTTATCAGCTGTTAGAGGAGGCTCTTGACTCTGGTTCCTCACTGAAACATGGTGATTTTGGTGTCTGGATGCCATTGGGGTTTAATGGTGAGCTCTAGGAATTGAATCAGTTGGGCTGTGTTGAGATGGAGTTATCTAAGGAGCCACCTGAAGTCTGTGGTTTTTTTTTTTTTATTTTATTTTATTTTGTACAAGGAATGTGTGACTCTACAGAAGAGCTGTGATTGATGCCAAGAAATATTTTTCCTCTTAACATATACTCTTCAAGGGACCGACCATCTGCTGAATTTCTTTCAGGAAGCATGCAGTCTGATTACTCCGGATAATTATTTGTTTAGTTTATATACATAGTAATATCTTGTGATGCTTCCCAGGGGTAGCCAGGGTTGTGAGGCACCTCAGTACTGCCTGCAGTTAGCATGAGGAAGGCTTGTCTGTGCCTTCCAGGCGTCAGCTCCCCATCCCCACTGACCACAGGCAACACCAGCACGCCAGGCCTATGCAAGCCCTGCTCTCTCTCTCTCTCTACACATTAGAGATAGGCACATTCCAACCCTTGAGCTCCCTGAGCATCTCCTTGGAGTGTCCACCACTGGTTCACAGAATTCACAAATTCACTGCTGTCAAAGGAACAGTACATACCAGTTTACCAGTTTCACCTGAGGATCACCGCTCCACTTAACACACAGCACTTAAATATGTTTAGTGAAAATAAGTAAAAATTTATTTAACAAAGAGTAGAGATTCTAGAAGTAGCAAGTGAAAGTATTGGAAACAAATGCTTACATATAAAATTAAATTCTAATGTCTTCTCGAGCCTAGATTTTAATTAACAAGATACCATCATGTCTAATGAAAGTTTAGCTCACTTAGTCTTTCCAGTATTTTCTAGTCAGGTTGGATCTGACCCTCTTTCATAAGACAGAACACGCTGATAATTCATCTCAATGAAGGGCCTGGGGTGTACTGCAGTACCCCCAGTTATACCCCAAAAAAACATTGCCCTTACTCATAAACAGGACACCCTGTGTTTGTTTTTTTCCTTTAGATCTTTCATGTGACCAGCTAGAGAGATAAATGTCTACTACCCCCCGCCTGAACAGAACCTGTTTATCACCTTCTAGAGACCTATCTTAACTCCCACACCTTAAGAACATAGTTTTCAGTATAGATACCTAATTCCTTAAATAATGTCTGTGCATGCACCTTGCAATGATTAGGGTGTCCAGTGTGTTACTGGCTATTGGTAGAGACTTCACGTGCCACCCTTTGGTGCATTATTATATAGACATCAGACCCTTATGCACCACCCCTTATGCCCTCTGCCAGTTGGCACTAAGGGGTCCCTGGGTCACAAATATCCAAAAGTCTTGTTTGTGGTTGGTGCTCCATTGTGCTGTACAAATACGTAGGAAGATGCATTCCTTCCCCTGAAAAGTTTACCATCTAAATCGACAAAAGGTGAGGAGGAAACAGGCACAGAAATGTGAAGTGATTTGTCCAAGGTCATATAATAGATCAGTGACAGAGAAGGGATTTCAGTGTTGTTACTACTGAGAGAGCAGAATCAGGCCCTAAATGGAAAAGATATGAATTTTCAAATTCTTGTAATTTCACATTATCTAACTAGAGAAGGAATCTGTTTCAACGCCTTTGTGGACAGGGTAGTATGCAGAAAGGTTTCAATGTAAATAAACTGAACATCTTAACCCAAAAGTTATTTAAGAGGAATACATTCCTGTAAGAAACTGAGCAAGGAATTTCACCAGCCAAAACTAGCAGCTTTACCTACAATATGTAGTTAAAAGAAAATCTGCTTTTTTCTGCCTTTAGTGGGCCTAGTTGAATCTCAGAAGTAGTAATCTTGTGCGATTTTCTGTAACTCCATAATATATTCTTCCCAAGATGCACCTATGGAGGTGCTTTATCATTACCTGAACTTGTTATGCCATTAGACTTCTTCTTTGAGTGCTTGCTCATGTCGATTCCATTCTAGGTGTGCGTGCGCCCACGTGCGTGGTCATTGGAAATTTTTGCCTTAGCGGTATCCGTAGGATTGGCTGTGGCACTTCCTTGAGTGCCACGCTCATGCATCTGTGTATCAGGCACCGCCGGCCGTACGCCCTCTCAGTCCTTCTTACCGCCTGTGGTGGTTAGTCGGCAGGGCCGGCTCCAGGCACCAGCTTCTCAAGCAGGTGCTTGGGGCGGCCGTTCCGGACAGGGGTGGCAGTTCCAGGTATTCGGCGGCAATTCGGCGGACGGTCCCTCACTCCCCTGGGAGTGAAGGACCTCCCGCCGAATTGCCGCCGCAGATCGCGATCTAAAAAGAGCTGCGATTGCTGCTTTTTTTTTTTTTTGGTTTTGGCTGCTTGGGACGGCCAAAACCCTGGAGCCGGCCCTGTTAGTTGGAGCACCTTTCCTTGCATAGCAAAGGCTAGTGGTTTCGTCTCTTCAGACTTTGAGCCTTAGGGCCTTGTAAATAGTTGTTTTATAGTAATTAGTGTTAAGTAGTTGTTAAGTGTAGTTAGAAGTTAGAGTCCCATCGGGGACTTCGCCCCAAGCGGGGTATGCCCCGGTCTCCGGGGTTTAAGCCCTGCATGGACTGTAACAGGACTATGTCTGAAAGTGACCCCCACAGCAGCTGCCTCAAGTGCTTGGGGGAATCCGATGTGAAGAACGAGTGTTGTATCTGTAAAAATTTTTGACCCAGGACTCAGCAAGAGCAGGATATTCGTTTGAGGGCTCTCCTCATGGAGGCTGCCCTCTGTCCGGCTTCCAAGCCATCCCGCCAAGACTTGACTCCTACTACCTCGGCCTCCGTGCATAGCTCACCCCCAGCACCGGGCTGCGCCCAGCACCACTTCTCATCCCCAGTGCCCAGAAAGAGAACTAAGAAGCATGGCTCCCCAGCATTGGGCAAGAAAGGACGTGGGGCATTGGGCAAAGGACACACTTTTTGCCGCCCGGCCACTCCGGAGCCATGTGGATGTTCCTCCCCAGTCAGGGCCCTTACCCCCTTAAAGGATCCACCACTGACTCCCAGGAGCGGTGGGGGATGCAAACTTGTGGCGACATCGACGCCTTCCCAAGCTCCCCCGGCGCTGAGAGAGCAGTGGTCTCCGCCTGTGCCACTGGCACCATGTGTGCCCCAGGAGGCAGCAAAGGCTCCCTACAAGGGCAGGCCAGCCTCAAGACCCCCCAAGAGGCAGTGGAGCACCATTGATCCCCTGAGCCAAGGCAGAGCTCTCCATCTCCGCACCACAGATCTCTGATGTCACAGCCCAGATCCTCTTGGGCTCGCCCTCAGTCACCAGCGCCACGTTTGCAGTCCCTGCTTTCTTGACGCAGATCACCTAGGGGGAGGCGCTGGTCTCCGTACCACCGGCACCGTTCGCCCTCCGCTGGTCATCCTCTCGGCGCAGATCTCTGTCACCTGCCCCATGGGAACGCTACTGTCGTGATACTGGTGGCTCCAGCACTGGTCCCCATGACACCGGCACCGATCCTTCTCTAAGCACCGGTCTCTGGTGGCGATGGTTAGCAGGCAGGCGCAGGCGTCGATGGCCCTACCATGGTCACCAAAAGGGTATTCCTCTGGCACGAAAGGGCAGTTTAACCCCTCGCTGAGACTCCACTGGCGCAATTGGACACCTGAGGCCATGTCGACATCTACAGCGCTGCCGTGGCAGCATGGCCAGTGGCGTTATTCGAGTGCATGGGGCATGCCAGTGATGATGATGCCACCTTGGAGCAACAATTGACGGCACTGGACTCGGTGAATGAAGCACGCTCAGAGGTCAGGGCAGAGGAAACAGCGCCCACCCCAAAACCCCCTTCCCCTGTGGGGGATGATGCCATGGGGGCTCCCCCAGTGGTACAGTTGTTGTCCTCATCCATTGATGAAGCGGTCATGGGACTCTCGAGATCCAGCCCGCCAGATGATTTTAAAGAACACCAGGCCCTGCTTTGATGGGTGTCTGAGAACTTGAGCCTAGAGGTGAAGATGATGTCTGAGCAGGCGGACACATTGTTCAATGTGCTCTTGGCATCTGCCTGTGTTGCACTACCAGTGCGTGACTGGGTCCTGAAAATTGCCAAGGCCCTCTGGCAAACCCCGTCGCCCATCCCTCCCACCTCCAAAAGGGCAGAAAAGAAGTACTTTGTCCCGTACAAAGGGTTCAAGTAATTTTGTACCCACCCACCTCCGGGCTCCCTGGTCATCTCTGTTGCCAACAAGGAGGACAAGCAGGGGCACACCAGTTCAACTCCCAAAAATAAAGAGGCCAAAAGACTGGACCTTTTTGGAAGAAAATTTTATTCGACAGCCAGCCTGCAATTCTGGGTGGCAAACCACCAGGCCCTCTTGAGCAGGTACAATTTTAACTTATGGGACTCCTTCCATAAGTTCAAGGAGTTCCTCCCTCAAGGTTTGGCCCAGGAATTCGGCACCCTGGTGAAGGAGGGTACCTCAGTAGCAAGGTGCTCCCTCCATATGGCGTGGGAAGCAGTGGACTCGGTGGCTAGGGTGGCCACTTCGGAGGTAGTCATGAGGCGCAGTTCCTGGCTTCAGACCGCCGGCCTATCCCAAGACATCTGGATCTCCCATTCAGTGGGATTGGGCTCTTTGTGGAGTAGACTGACACGAGGCTGCGTGGGTTAAAGGTCACTTGTGCCACCCTTTGCTCGCTGAGTATGCGCACGCCCCACAGTCTGCAAGGAAGCAGTTCCGGCCGGCCAAGGCCTTGGCAGCCTTGTCAAGGTTCTGCAAGGAGAAGGGATAGAGACACGAGCTTTAGTCGTTGCTGCCCTTCCTCCTCCCACTCACCCACACAGCCCAGCCCCGCAAAGCATCCTGAGGGCCAGAAGCACTCATTTTGAAGGTATGCTTGAGAGTGACACCCCAGTCAACTCCCCGTATCCACCTTGTCCTTTCCTTGACCGTCTTCATACCTACTGTTTGGTCTGGTCGTGGGTCACCTCAGACCGCTGGGTGCTGGATGTAGTATCTCAGGGCTATACCATACAATTTTTGGCCGCCCCCTCTCCCATCCCTGTTCTTCCCTATCCCTCTTCAGGGACCCTTCTCACGAGCAACTCCTCATTCAAGAGTTCAAGAACCTCCTGCACCTGCAGGCAATGCAGGAGGTCCCTCAGGACATGAAAGGAAAGGGGTTCTATTCCTGCAATTTTCTAATCCCGAAAGCAAAAGGGGGCCTCAGACCCATTCTGGACCTGCGTCGCCTCAACAAGTCTCTCAGAAAGTTGAAGTTTTGCATGGTCTCCCTGGCCTACATCATCCTTTCCCTGGATCCGGGAGACTGGTACACCGCCCTCGACTTGAAGGATGCTTAGTTCCATATTCGGAGGTCATAGGCGTTTCCTTCGTTTCATAGTGGGTGGATATTTTCAATTCACAGTGCTGCCCTTTGGCCTCTCTTCGGCCCTGAGGGTGTTCACAAAATGTATGGTGCCAGTAGCTGCTTATCTGAGATGTTGAGGGGTCCAGGTCTTCCCATATCTTGACGACTGGCTCATCAAGGGCAGGTCTCAGGAACAAGTGCAGAGGAGCCTCGATCTGGTGCGTTCCACCTGCTGTGACTTGAGCCTGTTAATAAACAAGAAAAAATCCACCTTAATGCAAGTCCAGTGACTAGAGTTCATTGGGGCAGTTCTCAACTCCACACGAGCCAGAGCCTTTCTTCTAGAAGTGTGTTTTCAGGCCATGTCGGACCTGATCTCCCACGTGAAGAATCACGCGATAACCACGGCTCACTGCCTGCAGTTGTTGGGCCACATGACCGCATGCATATACATGGTCAGTCATGCCCAGCTCCATCTTCGGCCTCTGAAAGCATGGCTGGTGTCAGTCTGCATCCCCAACAGGCACAACCTAGACTGGGTAGTCAGGGTGCTGGATCACATCCGGTTGTCCCTGGATTGGTGGTGGGACCCTGGATCAGTGTTAGAGGGAGTTCCCTTCGCGGCCCTGTCCCCATCGTTGACCCTGGTCTCCAATGCTTTGGACCTGGGTTGGGGAGTCCATCTGGGCGAGCTAAGCACCCAGGGCTGCTGGTTGCGGGATAATCTGGCCCTCATATCAACATCAGGGAGCTCAGAGCGGTTCGCCTGGTCTGCCAGGCTTTCTTGCCCCACCTGAACGGCAAGGTGGTGCAGTCCTGATGGACAATACTGCTGCGATGCACTACATCAACAGGTAGTGCGGAGCCAGGTTGTTGGCCCTTTGCCAAGAAGCTCTGAGCCTTTGGTATTTGTGCATGCGGCATACCATTTATCTGGTAACCGCGCACCTGCCCGGAACCAAGAACATCTTAGCAAATCACCTCAGCAGGACCTTTTTGTCTCGCCACGAGTGGTCGCTCCATCCGGAGGCAGTCAGTATAATCTTCCAGAGCTAGGGGACTCTCCAGGTGGACCTGTTCGCATCCAGGCAGAACAGGAAACGCCATGTGCTCTGTTCGTTCTGGGGGATGGACAGGGGCTCCATCCATCCCCTAGAATGAACAGAACATGTGGTTGGGGGCTCTGATGTATGCCTTCCTGCCAGTGCTGTCCCTTCACAGGGTCCTTGTGAAGATCAAGCAGGACAGGGCGAAGATTATCCTAATAGCCTCCGCCTGGCCTTGCCAGCACTGGTTCGGCATGCTGCTGGACCTTTCGATAGCTGCCCCGCTGGCTGGATTTGCTGTCCCAAAACCACAGCAGCCTTCTGCACCAGAACTTGGAGGTGCTGTAATTGACAGAATGGCTTCTGCATTGCTAAACACGGGCAAATGGGAGTGTTCGGCAAGTCTTGCTGAGTAGGAGGAAACCCTCCACCAGAGTGACTTACCTGGCCAAGTGGAAAAGGTTCACATGCTGGGTCTCGGAACGGCATATCCAGGCCGCGCAGGCCTCGCTGCGCCTCCAACTCCAAGGTTTGTCCCTGTCATTGATCAAGGTCCACCTGGCCGCTATCTCAGCTTTCCATCCTCCATTCCAAGGCAGTTTGATCTTCTCTCATGACATGACGGGCCGGATTTTGAAAGGTCTGGAGTGTCTCTACCCACACATCCGGGATCCCGTCCCTCCCTGTGACCTGAATCTCATGCTATCGAGGCTCATGGGGCCTCCCTTCGAGCCTCTGGCTTCCTGCTCTCTTCTACGTCTCTCTTGGAAGGTTTCATTCCTGGTTGCGATAACGTCAACCCTCAGGGTGCCGGAGATCAGGGCGCTTACTTCGGAACTGCCCTATAAAATCTTCTACAAGGATAAGGTACTGCTGCAACTGCACCCATCGTTTCTGCCCAAGGTCATCTCCCAGTTTCATACTGGGCAGGACATATACTTACCCATCTTCTTTCCAAAGCCCCGTACGTCAGATGAGGAGAGCTGGCTACGCACCCTGGACGTCAGGAGGGCGCTGGCCTTCTACATAGATAGAACAAAACTGTTCTGTAAGTCAACGCGGTTGTTCGTTGCGGTGGCAGACATGTTTGCATCTCATTATGCACTTACCAGCAAGCTCGAGATGACACTGGCTTTGGCAGAGCAGTGCTGCAAGACCATGAACTCTGAGCCTACCTCCATTGACACTGTTTGTGAGTCAGCTAGAATGGAATCAACATGAGCAAGCACTCAAAGAAGAAAAAAACAGTTACTTATCTTTTGTAACTGTTGTTCTTCGAGATGTGTTGCTCATGTCCATTCCATTACCTGCCCTCCTGCCCTTCTGTCGGAGTTGCTGGTAGGAAGGAACTGAGAGGGCATATGGCTGGCAGTGCCTGATGCATGAGCGCAGCACTCAAGGGTGCGCCACAGCTGTCCCTACAGATACCACTAAGGCAAAAATCTCCCACCATGCACAAGGGCATGCACACCTAGAATGGAATGGACATGAGCAACACATGTCGAAGAACAACAGATACAAAAGGTAGGTAACTGTTTTTTTCAGAGTTGTATAAAATAACTCTTCACATGTCAAGTTGAAAAGTTGAGGGTTATTGTTGCAGAAAAAAGGTGGTTAGCCGTGTTCATACAAAGTAAAAGATCTATGTGCTTTAGAGGGTATGCTATCTTGCCATCTGGTAATTGGAAAGATTTTCAAGGTTGAAGGACTGCCAGGCCCAAGTCTCCTCGTTCAGCCCCTAGCCATTGCATCTCTAGTGACTATGAGAGTAACTGCACTTTTATGTATGCATAAATCAGTAAGTAAAGTATTATGCATGCTTAATACCTTTCTATATTGTAATGTATGTGCAGAGTAACAAAAACTTCCTCTGGTATCTTTTACAACAAAACATCGGTGTTTACCTGAGAAGTCTCTCAAGGACAAGGATCTTGGTCTTGTTTTTGTTTAATATAAATTTCTTTCCAAAAGCTCATCGACAGCTATGGCACTATAATAAATTAAAGAAACAGTAGGTCTAAATAGGGAACTTTTGAATGAAATGAAATTTGGTACTCTCTTTAGATGTGCTTTTCAGCACTGAGGAAATCTGATATTGATAATAGAATTCATAATGTTTATTTTAAGTGTAATTTTGAATAAATAACATGGTTGAAGTTAATTTAGAAATTCTAAAACTAGTGTTTATATCCTGTGCATTAATTTGTACAATTTTTCAGACTATTTAAGGTAATACAGTTAAGCACTTTTTTGTGTGTGGGGGGGAACTACAGGAAATGGCTATACTAAGCCAGGCAAATATTGCTATGTGTGTTGATTTATAGACTAATCAAGTTCTAAAATAAATATTTTTCCATATAATTTGATATGCTCACTGTGGATTATTGCAGTTCCCATACAGAATGTTTAACTTGCTGGAAAATCAAGGTTGCCTGTGCACCAACAGTCAAAATTGAAAGATTTATACAATATAAATTATGTGATTTAATAAATATTGCAGATTATAGGAGTTTAGTTTGAAATTAAAATAATTTCTTTTACACCCTGCTTTTGTATATTTCAAACAGGCTGATGGCAGAAAATCTGCACCATCCATGATGGATCGACTACAGAGACAGATAATTGTAGCAGACTGTCAAGTTTACCTGGCTGTGCTTTGTTTTGTAAAACAGGAATTGTCAGGTGTGGTGTGACTATAGTAATAATATTTTAGCTTTTTTTTTCATTGGCATGTAGAGTGAGTATTAACTTCTGATCTCTAAAGTGTGAAAATGATTACCGGTACCCACATTGATAAAGATGGTTGCTTTGTGTGAAAGAGAGACATTGCATTTGAAATGAGGGATTAGATTTTTCAAAACTGAATGTGTCTGCAAAATGTGCAGCCATTGTACCCTAAAAACTTATATTTGTTCACATGGATTTGGTATGCGAGCATGCACCAATATTATGTGCAATTATTTATTTGCATATGGAAATAGAAGCCTTTGCAGGCGAAAGGGTATATTTGTGGGTTCTTTGCCAGTTTTTGCTAGGTTTAAAAGTTGGGTCTCAGTAGTGCAAAAATGAGACATTTTAAATTTGTATTTAGGATTAAAGATATTTATAACTTTTTACATAAATATGCATACATATATAGTAGGGCCTTTAAATAATGTATATTTGATTTGTATAAATTAGGGCTTTCTGCCTTTTGTTATACCAATACCCAACATTCTGCTGGTCCTCCCTTATATATACCTGAGAATACTTTGCATATCCTCATAGAGGTACCTCAGGAATCATTGCAAAGATGTATAGGTGCCTTGTGCATCTTAAGTTGTACTGGCTGAAACTGTATGAGAAAATTCTCTCCCGCAAAGCCCAGGTAATGGGGACAGGCTTATGTCCCCCACACTTATACAGTTGCTTGCAATCCTATTCAGGAAATGGGGGAGATAGCAAGAAATTGCTGACCGAAGTGGTTTTGAATTAACAAGTCTAGTGCTAAAGATGGAAAAGCTGACTAAACAGTGTAAACTTCTAATGTGCTAAAGACTCTATTCATTAAAACATGGAGCACAACAGTTTCAGGTGCTTGCTTGCCACAGAAATTAATCCTCATTTAGGGAATACAAACCTCTCCTTGTCTCAGCTGTAAAACTGTTTCCAGATTTCATTGCATTGCTTGATCTCTGGCATAACAGAAAGACATTCCTGCCCCCATTAATTTATACAGAAGATGATCCAGGTCATGTGCTAACTGAGCATGCTTCCAAGTATTCACTTATGTCAACAAAGACTGAGGGAGGGCTGCTGAAGAAAATCCAAGAAGTACTATCCAGATTACCATTAAAATAATGTAAATATCATTGGTCGAGAACATGGGACCTTCTGTTATGGAAATCCCTATTTTTCAAAACCAGTTTTTCTGCAATTTGCTTGGTTCTAGATAAGATATATAAACTAAGGGACTATTGTCTGCTGTACCAATAAGATGAGACAAAAGGTAATATATTTTATTGGACCAACCTCTGTGGGTGTGAGAGAAAAGCTTTCAAGTTTACAAGATCTCTTCTTTAGTTCTGTGTGAACTCGAAAGCTTGTCTCTCTCACCAACAGAAGTTGGTCCAGTAAAAGATATTATATCACCCACCGTATCTCTCTAATATCTTGGTACCGACATGGATACAACAACACTGCATACCAATAAGCTGTCATTTAGGATTTCTTGGCACTCCAAGTGGGTAGTATATGGCTTTCACTCACTCTTTTTGCTCATTATTTTCCCCTAGAAATCTTCCCTCCTTTCAGAATTTATACCATAATTGCATTACAGCATCTGCCCCAAAAGCCGAGAGAGCAGTCAGTTTCCTTTCCTCCTCTGGTCTGCTGTGGAGAATGCTGAGGAAGCAGCAGTAACAACTCAGGACAGAAACAGGCCTTACAGCCCTTCTGGGTCTATCCACTCAGGAACAGTTCACTTGAAATCTTTAGCTACCCTCCTCTGAGGCTAAGGACCGTCTCTGTGATCCTCCAGTTTCTTGTCAGTAGCAGTGTGAGAGTGAACTTGCTGAACAGTTGAGTCTATCACCCATTAATCATTTTAGAAATCCAGCTTTTGGCCAGATTAACTTTTTGTTTTTATATACATACTTAGTTTTTATGGCATTATGTCTAGATTTTTGTATAGTGAGAGAACCAAATTATTGAGACACAATCTTCATGTGTAAATTGCTTGGTTCTCAATTGATGGGTAGAAAATCATTGACTTTTTGCTGAACAGTTTGACAGGCAGCTGTATGAAAACACACAGGCTTATGAACAGTTTGCTTTTTAGTAGCTCATTGGGCTAATGTTTCTCTCCCACACATACTGTAGCTATTTTCATCTTACTACATTTATAAAACAAATCTGATCTTTATTGGACTGCTACCTAGGTGCATTTAACATTGCTGCAGGGATTTAAACTTCTTGAAATTAATCACTGCAGTCATAGCACAGGCAATCCATTAGCAATTAATGTCAGGAAGTCTCAACTCAAGTGTTATCTCAAAGAGTTAAGTAATCCACATTATGAATAAATAAAGGCTCAGATTTATGATTTTAACATATCTCAGTATACCATATCATGAGATGTGCTGTTTTTGTCAGAAAATTTTCAAAGTACAGTACTTTGGTAAGCAGGAAGGATGAAGTTCTGCAATGCACACATCAGGGATGCAGTGATCTTATCAAAGGCACTAACTGAAACACAGTCTGTGGGGATGAGTGAAATGTGGTTGGTTGGTTTGTTTCCCGTTGCTCTATCCCTACTGCATTGCTGTTCAGAATTGTATAAGCACTTGTACTGTGGTGAACCACATAACTGCTGAATATTCTATGCAGCAAAAAAGTGGCCTAATTAGAGAATTGAAATAACATTAGCCTCGCAATATAGCTGAATCATGGTTATGGTTGGAATATTTTATTGCAATAAATAGCTTAATTTTTCCTGTTGAAATAGTAAAAAAATAAAAATTCATTTGCAACACACACAATCAAAAAGTTTAACTCCAGGAGGCCTGTTGCAGTCTTGGGGTGCTCTGCTGAGCAAAGCAATGGGGGATGAGAAATCTGATCTCAATTAAACTATTTTTATATTTATTTCAAAAGAGCACTTCAGTTCACTTTCAATATAATAGAATTACAGTTTACAAATACTTTATTTAAAAACCAGATCTTCCTTTTTTTTACCTGTTAAGGCCAGACCCTCACAGATCTGTTTCCCTTGCTACAGCTCATGGTGTCACCAATACCTAAAACAATGTAGGGAATGCAGTATTCTGCATTGTGTATGGTGCTGATAATATCAATGGTGACAGAATAGAGTCAGAACTCTATAGTTTTTCTTGGAAATAAAAAAAAATTAATTTCACCTTTAATATGCTGCTCTCCTGCAACTTCTTATAGAGCTGTATACAGAATGTTGATTTATTGTTACTTCAGCTGTAAAGCCCACTGACTGAAAATTCCATTACTCTCCATCCAGGCTAGCTTTGGACATTCCCTAGTATTATAGTAGTCTCCCCTTCCCTCTCCCACTACCCAATATGGGTTATTCCTCTCTCTGCACATGGCTTCTTCTGGAGAGTCCAAACATAATTTTTAGTACTATGATTGTGCAATTAGGTCTCCATGTATAGTCGGAAGTAAGCCTGTGGCTTCGTTTTCATTTCATACATCCAGTGTCTAAAAGAGATTGGGCTAGTTGAAAATCCTCTTTCACAATTCCTTCTCCCCTACTTCCTTTTGTAAGTGCAGGGAGTTCTTTTGTGAAGAGCAATACAATAATATACAAATATGCAGAGAGAGTAGATTGATCTCCATATTCCTTCCTTGTCTCAGGCCCCCATTTGTCTTTACACTCTGTAAAATTCATCTCAACCTGGACACTAAATTTGTGTCTAAAAATCTGCTTATCCCTGTGCCGACAACAGTACCCACATACATCCTTGCCTACATTTCCTCCCACTTTGCCACTGAATCTCCATTATCGTATCACTTCAACTCTTCAGACATGCAATGGGCCATTGCCTACTTTCTCTCACATCCTTCCTCAAACAACTCAAGTTCAAAACTATTATCCTTGTCCATCCACATGCTGCAAGCTGCCTGTGTCCTCCCTGTTACTTGTTGAGGACTTGTCTCTTCTCTGTCCATTCATACAAGCTCCCCACTTTTGGTATTAGACACTTCCCTGCATCTTCTGCTGTCTGAAACACACTTCCCATATGTCTCCTCGGCAGCTCTAGCTCTCATTTCAAATCTGTGGAAAGTACTTCATGTTCCTCTTCTTTCATACCTTTTTCATTTTCTTCTCCTATGAGTCACTGTTTAACTGTGTAAAACAATTTTGAATACAGTTTGTATGAAAAAATATATCTACCTTATTTAAAAAACACTGTAATCTACTCCAGATAAGGTTTTGGTTATTTTTTTCCCCATTCTCTATTCTTTCAAAGCCACTTGGAGTTAAAATTAAACATTTTTCCTTTGGGTTTTTTTGCTACTTTCCATGTGCCAGGCACTGTGTTCATCCTACTCCACACCATGTGTTTGTAAAGTTGCAGAAGCCAGCATTGTTTACTTTGTGTTTATTTCTCTGTTCATCTGCATCATCCCTGTTGTCTGCCTACTACAGGTAGTAGTAACTTTGTGCTATAAATTGTTTTTAAGATCTTTGGCTAAAAAGCACTGTATAAATTCATCGTATTGTTACTATTAAAGATCTTCCCTAGATTTTACAAATCAAATCAGGTTTTAGATCAAAAATATGTGATAGTATTCCTTTTAAATTTGCCTTTTTAATTAGATAATCTCCAGGTAACAGAATGTCCATTGCTGCAAAATCCTGCAGAACTTTTTTGTAGTCATGAAGTGAAATCAGCTTAAATAGAAATTGCAATATAGTATTTGTCATTCTATGAAAGACCATTTATGACTTTTTTTTAGTTTTTGTATCTGTAATAAACCCTTGAGATATATTTTCTTTCTGTTGTCAGCATACATAAAAGGTGGGTGGATCCTTCGAAAAGCCTGGAAAATTTACAATAAATGCTACGTGGACATTAATACACTTCAGGAAGTATATCAAAAGAAGATAACTCAGGAATCCTTGACTTCTGATGCTGCAAATGATAATCATATTGCTGCAGAAGGTGTAACGGAGGATTCGCTAAACAGACTGAAAGGTGCTGTTAGCTTTGGATATGGACTTTTTCATCTTTGCATATCCATGGTGCCCCCAAACCTGCTCAAAATCATCAACCTGCTGGGTTTTCCTGGAGACCGCCTACAGGGGCTTTCATCACTGATGTATGCAAGTGAAAGTAAGGACATGAAGGCCCCTTTAGCTACGTGAGTAGCTATATTGAAATTCTTTGGTAAATAACTTAGTAGTGAAAGTTAGTGAACTACAAAGAAACAAAAAATAAAATAAAAGCTTGTTGCTTTAAAGGAAACATCAGCAGGTAAAAAGCTTTCAAATTGTTGCTTAACATGCCATTGTTTATTAAATTGATCATATATTATAATGAGACCTTTTTTTAAATATGTGCCTTCAGATTGTGTTGGTGATTTTATTCTCCAAAGCCTTTTATTATATCATCAGATAGTTCCTATGAATAGAGAGAAATTATTGTGCTTAAAACAGTAATTTAAAGGATATCCTAAAAACCTCAGTAAGCTGAAATATTTAATTAGCTTGCTATTTAACAACTTGTACAGGGGAAAATGTTCATGTCATAAAAACTATAAACTTCTACCTACTCATTATATATACTTATTTTGATATGACTTTTTTCTATTTATATCTAATTCCCGTTTGCAAAAGTTTGGGAACATTGGAGCTTTTTACACACAAAAAGGATATTAAATATATTGGCCTTTTGAGGGACATCCCTCATATAACAAGATTTCCTGACTCTTTATGCTGCATTCTGGTATTTTTTGTGGCTTATCTTTCACCCAGTCTCAATTTACTGCCCTTTATGAAGGTCTTTCTACTATTCAGTGCCACAAAGTTCATACCTTCATTCCTGGGTTTGCCTAGGAACTACAGTGCACCACTGCAATAAGTGTGGAATGCAGTGTTAAATCCTTTCTGCTTGGAGAGTTCTGATCTGATAATCAGTTTTAATATGCCCTGAAGATTCATTCGTCAGTTTGATATAATCTATATTGTGGGAAAATTGAGAATACCATCCCTTCTTGGTGTTTTCCGCACCAATTGGCCCAGGAAGCAGGCATGCCCTGCTCTTCCCCCACATTAAGTCTGATCTCGGTCATTTATTTGTCAACACTTTGGAAAAGCAGGCTCAATATCCCTCCCCTTTCCCCTCAATCTTCAATTGTTGTTTGTTTTATGGTGTTTTTACGAGCTTAATTATTTTAAAAAGTTATCCAGTTCTTAGTTCTAGAGATTGTAAAAACCCTACTCATCTAATGCTTTGGAAATTGTGAGCCTAATTCTACTTTCGTATACTCTGGTGTAATTTTGAAGTAATCAATTTAAGGCAATGAAGGACACTGGCTTAAAGTCAGGGCAAGCAAGAGAAGAATCATGCTCTGCATCTTTTGTCAGTGCCTCTATAATAGAGCTCATCTGCTGTAAACAAACTGTAATCATCGTTCTTTTTGTGTCTTCTTTCAGATTAGCTTTGCTGTGGTACCACACAGTAGTTCGCCCCTTTTTTGCTTTGGATGGCAGCGATAACAAGGCAGGACTGAAAGAGGCTAAGGAGATTCTTCTGAAAAAAGAAGCTGCTTATCCAAATTCTTCTTTGTTTATGTTCTTCAAGGGAAGAATACAGCGATTAGAGGTATTATATGCTTTCATTCTCCAGATTATTTTTTCTTTGTTGTATTGTAAATGTTGTTGTTTTGAATATATTACATTAAAACAATACAGACTTCAATAAATCAGACATGAAGGGGAAAAAAATCCTCTTTTGCACCTTCATGTCCAGAGTCTCAATCAGCCCTATTGTAACTTAGCTCTGGCCAACTGACTTAAATATCAAGATCTGACTCTTGTTTTGCTACTTGGTGTATTTGCAGCACCTTAATAAAAGGAAATGTATTTATTGCTATAAGTCATATTTTCTTGCAGTATTAATAGGTACTTAAGCCTTGAATTTGTCATATTGAAATCTGAATTTAATCTATTGAAAACATGAGTAGAAAACATTGTTTTCCTTTCTGATGTGCTTTGCCTGACTCTGACCTGTCAATGTACAGGTAGCCCCTTTCAGTAACTTCCTGAAGTTTAGGTAACTTCCTTTGCTGTTTAGACATCAAACCAGGGTGTTCTTAACTCCCATAGTGAGATATGAGCTGAATAGGGTTATTCCCTGAAAACAAGATTCACTACTGCTGTCTGTGTTGAAAAGGTGTTCTTCAGCTACTGCAGCCGTCCCACATTTTGGCTCTGAATCCTGTCCTTTCTGTGTGCCCATACTAGTTTGAGGCAGGCAAGAGAGCTTTAAACACCCTCTCTCATCTGCTGCTGCTTCATCCATCGGTGTCAGAATATTCCCAGGGCTGCTGTAATAAAATAATAATAATAAAAAAACACCAGTAGCTAGCTTCTTGCATTGTGGCATCTAAGGATCCTAAATGTTCCTTTTGGACAAACAGCCATTGGGCTGAAATGCTCCATCTCAACACAACTGTTAGGTCTAGTTCAGACCTTAATGCACTCATATCTGCTGTGGTTTATGGTTGATTCTCAGAATAGAGCCTGCTGTTTCTGGGGCAGAAGCATGGGTAACAAGATTTAGGCTTTCAGTCTTGCCTTATAAGACAGATCAGATTTATTTGCATCTTGTTTGGTTTTACCTGGAAATACTCTAATACATTTCCAATCTGAACTGATTTTGTGCTGTCCCAGCCAAACTACCTTTTTAGGCATTATTTTGATGTTATTTGTGGGTGGGAAAATATTTTAGTTGCCTTTCATTGAATCCTGTAGTCATTCCATGTAGTTGAATGTGTTTCAAAGGGTTTTTGAAGATATTCAGGTGAAATAGATATAGATATGCAAAATACATACTACAGTAGTTCAAAAAATGTAGAGTTGGTAATGGTTCATCCCAGAATCTGACCTTGTAATTGGAACTATTAACATGTCCGTTGATGTAGGAAAAGGAATATAATCTATAGCTGTATTATCTCTGTAGGACTAACCAGAATAAAATCAGTAAAAACATCTTTGTCAATAAAACGAACCTTTATGACCCTGAATACAGACAGGGTGAAGATCTGGTGTGAGTAAGAGGGTGTCAGTTTTACATAGTCACTTTAAAAGTATTTCTCCATCTCAGTCAGTGAGGAGAAAGCACTTGTATTTCAAGGAAAATTTCATACTAGTGTGAACTTGAAAGAAGAAGGCAGAGATTTACTTTATTGTATTCTCTTTGCTATTCTTGCACTTACTTGTTTTTATAAGAAGATTTTCCTTCACAAGCCAGCTTTATCAGCTGTGTCCTGAATGGTATTGTATCCTTGTGACACTGTGTTGCTGTGGAAATATCAAATGAATATTGAATAACGGATTTGTTATGCATTTAATTAGTGATATCACAAATTCAATATTGTGACTTCAGTATGTAATCCAGTAAGAAGAAGAAGAATGAGCTGGGAAGGAGCAAGCCCTTGTTTAAATGTAAATGTTTTTAAGAAACAGCAAACATGGAAAGAAATGTGATGCAAGAAAAGTGTATTGGACTTATGCTTGAAGTCGTCAGGACCTGAAAGGGTATTTCATAAGTAGAGGCCTGTGGAAAGCTTGCAGTGTTTAACTCCTGATAAAACTTTAACTGCTGGACTGAATTTCATTGTACATAGACAAATCCAACCCTACAAATCTGCCAAGGAGTCATCTGATTTTTAAGGTCATGTTGGGAGACATCTAAACATAAGCCTTGCTTTTTGTCCTAAAGGAAACATGTTGCAGTTAGAATGTCATTTATTTTACCAGCAGTGAATATTCAAAATAGCTGGCTGATTACAAAGTACTTTACATGTTCCAAGGATTCAAAATAGCTTGTATATATCTAAAGCCAATAGTTCTAATAGTGGTTGATAGAAAAATAGAATTTGTAGGCTTTATATATTAGTCCTGTGAGTAACAGCATGCAGCACTGAGTTTTTTATATTCTTTGGGCCTGTACATGCTCAATGTGTATGTTGTGCAATTTCAATTGATGGCATGGACAATTGCATACTGTACTGCATGTGGGTGTTACTTATGTGAAGATATAAAAAGCAAGCAGTCCAGTCTGGTGAACTGAAACCAGCCATCCAAATAAGAGACCGATAGATATGCCAGACTGGACACAGAGAGAGGATCACTGTGGAGAGGTAAATTGAGAGTTTCGTGCACAGATACGCAATGGTAGTTGAAGCCATGCAAATGGAGCATGTCCCCCAGGGATAAGATTCATAGATTCTAAGGCCAGAAGGGACTATTATGATCATCTAGTTTGACCTCCTGTATAACACAGGCCAACTTGATTTAAAAATTGTCAGTGATGGAGAATCCACCACAACCCTTGATAAACTGTTTAATGGTTAAATACTCTTACCATTAAAAATGTATGCCTTATTTCCAGTCTGAATTTTTCTAGCGTCAACATCCAGCCATTGGATTGGGTTCTATCTTTCTCTGCTAGATTGAAGATCTCATTATTAAATATTTGGTGCCCAGATAGATAATTACAGAGTGTAGTCATGTCGCTCCCTAACCTTCTCTTCATTAAGCTAGATAGACTCAAAGAGTTCAATTGCTATAAGGCAGTGATTCTCAAACTTTTTGTATTGGCAACCCCTTTCACACAGCAAGCCTCTGAGTGGGACACCCTTGTAAATTAAAAACACATGTTTTATATTTAACACTATTTTAAATGCTAAGTTTATAACCCTATTTGAAATGAATTTACCTTTTTTCACTGCTTTTAAATTAAGACAAACACATTTGTATTGAATTATTAAAAGCAGAATTTTTTTTTTTAAATAGTGGTAATGGGAAACTTTGTGTCAATATCACTTTTCACAGCAGACTTAGTGTCCCATTACTTCTGCTGGTGCTGCCTTTAGAGCTGGGTGGCTCTGAAAGCAGCACCACCAGCAGCGCAGCACAGAAGTAAGGGTGGCAATGAGGCGCTAAGTCTGCTGTGAAAAGTGATATTAACAAACATACAGAGATCACTTTTCACAACAGACTTAGCGCCTCATTGCCACCCTTACTTCTGTGGTGCTGCTAGCAGCACTGCTTTCAGAGCCGCCCAGCTCGGAAGGCAGCACCAGCAGAAGTGCAGAAGTCCATGGTGGTAATGGGACACTAAGTCTGCTGTGAAAAGTGATATTGACACAGTTTCTTTGTGCGCTTCCCCCCGCCCCACATAGAACCCCTGGCATGCCTCCCACTTTGCACACCACTGGTCTAGCCCACCTTACTCCCCTCACCGGGGAGAGGCTGGCGCTGCTCCTCACTCGTGACCCCCACATAATAACCTTGTGACCCCTGAAGGGGTCACATACCCCAGTGTGAGAACCCCTGCTGTAAGGCATGTTTCCAATCCTTTAATCATTCTTGTAGAGGATTCAGAGAAGAGCCACAATTTTTCGGCATTCTTCTTGAATTATGAGCACCAGAACTGGACACAGTGTTCCAGCTCAGTCGCACCAGTACCAAATACATGGGTAAAATAACCTCTCTACTACTACCCAAGATTCCCCTGTTTATGCATCCCAGAATCGCATTAGCTCTTTTGACCACAGCATCATACTGTGTGATCATGTTCAGCTAATTATCGACCATGACCCCCAAATCTTTTTCAGAGTAACTGCTTCCCAGGTCAGAGTACCCCATCCTATAAGCCTATGTTCTTTCGTCCTAGATGTATACATTTACATTTAGCTGCATTAAAACACATATTGTTTGCTTGCACCCAGTTTACCAAGAGTTCCAGATTGCTCTGAATCAGTGATCTGCACTCTTCTTTATTTACCTTCCCCCAATTTTAGTGTCATCTGCAAACTTTATCAGTGGTTTTATATTTTCCTTCAGCTCATTGATGATAATGTTAAATAGCATAGGGCCAAGAACCAGTCCCTATGGAACCCCACTGAAAACATACCCACTTGATGACTATTCCTTGTTTACAATTACATTTTGAGACTTACCAGTTAGCCAGTTTTTAATCCATTTAATGTTTGCCATGTTAGTTGTATATTGTTTTAGTTTAGTAATCAAAATGTGTGGTACTAAGTCAAACGTGTTACAGAAGACTTAAGTACATTATATCAATACTATTACCTTTATCAACCAAACTTGTAATCTCATCAAGATGTAGAAAAAAAGAAAAGGGGTCCAAGGACAAAGCTGTGTAAAGCGGACAAATAGATGGGAGGAGGAAGGACTGCCAAGTCTGAGAGGACGGAGGAAAATCAAGAAAGTACAGGGCCATGAAAGTCCAGTGAGGACCGGATATCAAGGGAGAGTTTACTACTGTATCATGAAGTTTTGAAACTTTATATTCTGAAAAGCATATATAGAGTAGTATGGGGGCTTGGTCTCTGACAGTAGTTTTCTGTGAAACAGTCTTATAGTAGGGTGTATAAATATGTATATAATGAACTGATCTTCCCACTTTCTCAAAATCGCTCATTTGAGGGATGAAGTCTTGAATGTCTTCTAGAAATGTTGAAACGAATGAATTTTGGCTGCAAGTGAAAGGGAAGGATGACACAGGAGAGTTGGAATGGAAGTGAGACAGGAGGTTCAAGGTCACATTGGTAGGATGATCAGATATCTCAC